CCTCACCCGCCGCCGCTGCGGCGGCGGCAGCGGCTGCTACTGGTGCTACTGCCGCCGGAGGTGAAGCTACTGCCGTAGCTGCATGCGGTCATGCGGGTGGCGCTGTGGGTCCTGTTCTTGGCGGCCCGACGGGTGTTGGGCCGACGTGTGGCTCACCGCAGCAGCTGGAGTTGCAGCAGCACCCGCTGCAACAGCCGCTTCATCACCTCCAGCGGCAACAGCAGCAACAGCAACAGCAGGGCGCCACTGCCGCGGTGCGCATCGCGGCCCCCGTCAGGCCTCCCCCGGCGGAGCATCCTGCCGCCGCCGCCGCCGCCGCCACCGCTGCTTCTTGTGGCCGCGCTCCGCCAACGTTGCGGACCCGGGAGTTCTCCGCCGCTGCCCGGGCGGGCCGTGGCGATGTGCGTGTGCTGCCGCTGGCTGAGAGGCTGCGGGTGCCGGCGACTGTCCCCGTCGCGGAGTGGTACGAGATAGCGCACCACGTGCTGCGATACCTTCAGGTTAGTCGACGACATGTGTCCGGCCAGGTTGTGTCCACACATGGAATGTTGTGGAATAATGCATGTGTCTAAATGTATATATGTATGTTTACATTTATACACATGTACACATACATATACATTTCTATGTTACGTACATATACGAACATATATATGTATATGTGTATATATGTATTTTGTGTGTTTTGTATGGTGTGTGTGCGCATGCAAGTGTTAGTAGTGTGCAGGGCTGGCATACAGTGCCGCTGTGGCATCGTCGGCATTGCGTTTGTGCATGTAGGTACGATCAGTACGGAGCTGTTCGTATTTCAAGAGCCGTGGCGGGACGCCAGTGCTAGCTTACTGTTGTTCCGTTTTGTTGTCATCAGGGGGGTGGGGGGTTCTGTGGGGGGTCTTTAACAGCGCATGGGGGGGGGTACCCGTCTCCGTACTAACGCCCCGCTGGTCATCTCGTCGTGCCCCTCCTTCCCCCTCCCAACACACACACACACACACACACACACACACACACACACACACCGGTCCCCCAGGAGCAACCGGTGGGGCTGTGGATATCGCGGCCGTCCATTCTGAAGGTGCTG